GGGGCCAACACCGAAAGCGGCTTAGTCTTCTTTGTTCGGGCCACCGCCACGAGGCCGAAGCTTTGAGGATCGCCAACCGTTTCACCGTCCGAATATTCGACGCATCATGCAAGCACCCGCCAGCACAGCGTCATCTTCTTGATCAAGCATATTGTTTTTGGCCACTAGGTCTTCAGCTTCCAGATGTTGCGATGGCAGTCGATCCTCTGTCCCCGATCGCGCCTGCGCGCATTAGGGCCTTGCTTCTCCCCGTGGGTCGCATCAAGCGCTCGCGCTTCATAGCCTTTGTCGACCTCTTGCAGCAAGAGTCGCTGGTTCGACTGGGCGATATCAGCCCTGATCCGCGACCTGACCGGAGTATGAGCCCTCATGTGCCAAGTCAGCTCTGATGTTTGCTGATCTTGGCAACGATAGATATGTTCTCTCCTTTAGCATGGCCTGACGGAACTTTACTTTATGACTTATCGACTTCTATGCCATCAGTATCTCATCTATCACTGTCACCTTTCGAACAGTTCAGAGAGCCTCTACTGGTCATCGGAATCGGAGACGCGTCCGAATATGCCTGGCTGCAGCCATCACGTGGGACTGACGGAACCCCAAGCACGACATTTGAAGAACCCCCACCCGGCGATGATGAAGCCAATGCTATTCAATTTGGTATCGACGATCTCAGAGAACAGTTTCCTCGGGCGTATCTCCACAGCATCATGCTGTTTGATTCAGCAACCCCATCACGACATCCGCGCCTACCACAAGAGACACTCTTGATTCCACCAAGATCACAGCTAAAGACCACGACAATGAAGACTTTCATGTGCGATCTGACTGCAACCTTGCTAGCGGAGATGACCACTCTGGCAAAGTCCATACAGGCACTTCCTACTTTAGTTTCGCCCGCTTCTCAAAATGGCACAGCGGAGCTCACGCCAAGCTGGGCCGCATCTGACTCTACTTCGCAATTCTCGCGTCGCAACTCGCAAACACCAAGTGGGAGTAGACCGGAGTCACCCGTAGGAAATGCGCTGAAGGACGGTCACCGCGCGTCAATGCCTGTCTTGCCATCGAGTTCCGGAGGACCCCTGTCTACCGAAGACCCTAGGACCGCTTCATTGAGCGCACAAGGTACACGCACACCCCCGACAACCTTCGACGAAATTTCTGGTATCAATGCTGCCAATACGCTCCACCAAACAAACAGCAATCCCGCCAGGCCTAGCTCCGCAACCAAGAACGCAGCGGACCGCGTGTCGATTACAGGTTTTGGTTCCGGCGGGGTCGGTGAAAGAGCTCGAAACAAGGGACGCGGTCGTATTGGGATCGTGATCGGTACCTTGTACATGTGCGCAGGCCAGTGGGTCGAGGCTGTACGAGAGCTCACAGAAGCCGCGACAAGAGCACGTGCTCTAAGTGACCATTTGTGGCATGCTAAAGCTCTCGAACACATTATGGTCTGTATGCTCCTCTTTGCATGGTCAGGCATGGACTTCCAGGTTAGTCCAACTCCTATAAGATGTCAGTCTGATCATCTTACTGACCATCAAGATACCCCCAATCTGCTATCCGACATCCGATAAGTCTGGAGGTAACAAATCACCCACTCACACGCCGTCAAGCAGTGTCTCGGACGTGTCGACTCCCGCCAAACCTCACAAACACGATAACTCACTGGACGCTCTGAACTCCATACTTCCAGACATGGTCAACATGATACTGAACCTATACACCCGTGCGGCCAATTTCGCTGGCGAATCTTTGCCGCCGCTCGCGTTTTCAGAATGTGTAATACGCTTCTCCAAGTTGCTGACCGCCATCAACTTATCCGGAGGCTTCCTAGATGATGACGCATTGCGCCAGCTTGTGCAAAATACGCCATACAAGCAAAAGCCACGTCTTTCGGTACCGAGGCTTAGTGTACACCCTACGCGCAATGATATAGCGTCTATGCTATTTCGTGCATTACCTGGACCAGCAGAGAGTTCGGGCATGAACCCCACAGACCGCGTCGTAGTGCTTGCTGGTGTTGCCTCGATTTTATCGTCCTTAGGGCTACAACGCAAGAAAGCCATCGTCATGAAGGAGTTTATCACATCTTTGGTTCCCGGCTTGATACAGGCCCGCAAGGTTGGTGCAGCAGAGATGGGAGTACATCCAGCTGCTGGCCTTGCGGCTCTCAACATCGCAAGCGGCGGTAGCTCCGGGAGTGGTGCTCTCAATCTAGGCGAAGGCGAAGTCGAGAATGGTATCGAGGAATTCCTAGGCTTGCTAGGCCGGATATACGGGATACCGAATTCGAAAGGAAACATGCCCAATATTGGGATGCCCAGTCAGAGAGATGAGAATGCCGAAAGTGCATCGGACAGTATTGCTAGTCAACGCGTCGTTGACACCATACTGGCAATATCGTCTTTGCGCTCTTTCGGAAGTTTGAGTCTCAAGCTAGAGATATTACGAACGTGTCTGAGTTTCTGCGAAGCATTACCAGACTTTAATGGCGTCCTCCATTTCACTGCGCTCTTGCTTCGGGTGGCGGGTCCCGGAACAGCACCGAGACCTAATAGCACCGACGTGTTCGTCTCTCTCCCCCGAGATGAGCAGATCCGACTCTACTCCAACATTTCGAGAACCGTCACTGCCGCTAAGAAGCTTGGACTACAACATGTAGAAACAGAATACTGGGATGACTTCCTCGTGCGCGGGTTGTTCATTCTCGAAGAAATGGAACCTCTCCGCTTGACTCAAAGACAGGGGATCGAGTTGAAGTCGGACAGCCAAGGAAAAGACGGCCCTTTTCTTCACAATGCCTGGCTGAAGAAGCCGCAAACAAATGCTGCAAACACAGTCTTGGTTGCGAATGAGCACTATCGCTTCGTCATAGCCATGCAGAATCCATATGAGTTTGAGCTTGGCGTAGAGTCGTTGAAGATAGCTGCTGAAGGTGTTGAGTTTGTCGCGCTGGAGGAACACTTCCTGCTGGGCCCTTACAGGACTCAGAAGTTTCAGATCACAGGGACTGCGCGGACATCAGGATCGTTGAAGATCATTGGATGCTACGTCAAGCTTATCGGCTGCCGAGAGCGGCTGTTCCCCATATTCCCAGAGCCATGGAAGCCGAAGAGAGAAGCTAAAATGAAGCGCATGGGCCTCAAGGCATGTCTAGGGGCACCGACATCCCGGCCTTCTTCGGCAATCGCACCATCCATCGACAGCAGAGCAACTTCTCAGCCAAAGCCAGAGTCTTTGACGTTTTCGGTAATCCCAGACCAGCCCGTCATTATAATCACCAATGTTTCGTTACCGCAGTCAGCCGTCATGGTGCTTGAAGGCGAAAGTAAACGATTTACTGTTACAGTGAAGAATACTTCGACTGAAACAACTGTCGACTTCGTCCACATCTCTTTCCAGGATACGGCGACTACTGCGATACAAGCGGCGACTTCCAACAAAGACTTGCCGGCAGCCGAATTGCATGAGTTAGAAGTCCAGCTCGCCCATCATCCGTCCCTGCGCTGGTGCAAGGATGAGGCCGAGGAATCACCGAGCATCAAGCCTGGCGCTGAGGCGCAGTTCACCATCGAGGTTATCGGTCGCACAAGACTGACGGATGCGACTATACAAATCGACTATGCCAACCTTGGAAAGCGAAGATCGGAAGTAGAGGAGCACTTCTTCACCCGTCAGGTATCCGCGCCCATCTCGATCACCGTCAATGCGAGTGTGCAGCTTCAGCGGCCAGACATAGTACCCTTATCTGGCGACATTGCCTGGTCTAGCGATGCATCATCAGGCTCGCGCACTCATTCAGATGACGAGGCCTTGCAATCACGGTCGTCTGGCAAAGCCGATGGTCATCTTCGGTCTTTCATCAGTCAAAGGCGGAGTGATGATAGCGACGAAGAGTACTGCATGCTCCTCTTAGATCTTAGGAATTCCTGGCCAAACCCGCTCTCGATATTGCTCCAAGCCCGAAAGCCCATGGCTGATGGCAACTACACCAACGACTCATGGAACGAAGCGCATAGTGTGAACGAAGTCATACAACCGGGGCATGTCAGCAGAGTCGTCATGATCCTCCCAAAGGTCTACTTGAAAGCCCCACATGCGGCTGTACCATCGCTCAATCCCGCCAACCAACGCCAATTCGTCGTCAGCACGAGCAAGATCTCTCCCGAGACCGAACGTGCGAGTCGAGAAGCTTTCTGGTATCGCGAAGAGCTACTCAAGATCGTGCGCGGAACCTGGACCGAGGATGGTAATGGACGTCACGGCGAGCTGGAATTGCGCAGCATCCGCTTCACACCGCGCATGGTCGAGGCCATCAAACTCGACGATCTCGCCATCAAAACGACCATCGCCTCCGACTACCCTGCAGCGGGCGACGAAGAAGTTGTGCGACAAGTCGGTTGCGCAAAGTTCGAGGTACCGATAGACGAATTCCTTACCATGAAGACGTTCGTCCGCAACCGAAGCCCACGCCCCATCTCACCGATACTCAGATTACAGCCTCACGTCGCTGGTCTGCCTCATAATGTCGCCCTGGATCTGGATAAGCGCTTCTCGTGGACAGGTGTGCTGCAGCGCAAGTTGCCGGTTATACAACCTGGAGAGACGGTGGAGTCTGAGCTTGGTATTGTTGCACTATGTGGTGGTACATACGAAGTCGGTGCAACGGTTGACGAAGCGGAATTCATCAAGATGAGTGGTGGAGACGAAGACGATAAGAAGAACGACGATCAAATGTTACTACAGGGTGGCAATGTTCTGGGCGAGCCGAAGCTTCGGACTTGGTACATGACGGAGCCGTGTACTATCGTTGCGAAGAGATGAGGTGGGGACGAGTCTAGACTAGATGGATGAGATAGATCTTATGATGCTTGTTTCACGTATGATTCTTCAATCGACAACAGTCCCGTGATCAGATGACGACGAGTAGCAAGCTCTGAACGAAGTATATGGGGTGACACTCCGAGCGCTTCTGACATGAGCCAAACTGCCCCAGTATGCCCAATCTACTAAGTCTACCTACCGAACTGATCACGCTCATCGGTTCGTTTCTCAGGGCAGGAGTCCTAGGCCTTCTCCGTCTCGTCAATAAGGAACTTCACACAAAGACGTGGCGCAGCTTTTGTCTTCGTTTCCAAACCGTGAAGGTATCTCTAATTCGCATCAGCGTACAAGCACTGAGTGATGCCGCGTCATCCCCCGACATCGCCAACGAGATCAAGCACATGATCATCGGCACCGAGACACTTGATCAATACGAACATGCACCGACGTCATATCCCCGTGCGCTGCGTGCCATGATAGCCACCGAGGGCAAGGCCGTCGACTTGCGCATTTGGCTGCAAAACATCATCGTCCAAAAGCTGCCGAACCTGCGTACAATCACATTAGAAGATCGTCCCGAAGACCCAGACAGCAAAGACTACCGTCCAAGTATGGGAAGCGTGGAGCTCCTGCGAAGAGCTGGCGTCGATTTGAGCTTGAACGGACCATACGGTCTATCCATCTGGGACATTCCCCGTCGAGGAGACGATCGATCTTTCCCCTTGGTATCGCGATTGTTGGTCTTTGCGACTGTGTTCAGCATGCTGCGGTATCTAGACACTGAAAGTATGGTAATGGATTTCCGGATCGTGATAAGAGGGCATCGGATTCGGGGGCAGGAGGAAAGCGATATCAGAGAAGCTTTTGACATAACGGATAGGTGCACTAAAGAGGTACTTGACGCTCATCTTACGCAGATTACGGTGGGTGAGGATGAGAGTCGGTATCTTGTCACGGATCGGTTTTTGGAGTTTTTACAGGGTCTTCGCGATTATGCGCAAGGTAAGGGCATTTTGTTGATTGAGCGGTCGGCTGACGGGCAGATGCCTGAGCTCACAGGTGATGAAGGGCGTAGTTGTTATCTCAACGACCTGCGTTGTATGATTCTTCAGGGTGAAAGGATATTGCGCGAGCTACGGCTATTCGCAACAATCGGTTGTCTCAAGTTCCGAACCATCGGCGCCTATATGCCGCTCAACGTCCTCTTGATGACCAAGCGACACCTGTGTATGCGTCTCTGCTGGTTCACCACTGATATCATCGCTCGCGGGTCGCGCTGGTTCATGACACGCTGTGGTCACCAGCCTGGTGAGCTCTTCCAATTTGGTCTTGACTTCCGCATGTTGCTGTTCGAGCCGTTCCAGTGCTTTCTTACTCCTTCTGGCTGAACTATCCATTGATTAATCAGGTTGCATAGAAGTGTAGTTCCATCAATACTTACGAATTCGCCATTGAAACCTGGTGAGATAGTATGCGTGATCGTAAGATCTCCCTCTCGCGCACCTTTTCTAAAACCTTTTCTCGAACTCGATACCACCGCATCAGAGTTGGTGTTGACCCCACTGTCAGTACGTAAAGCACCCAGGACATAGGGAGCTGGTCTGTGAGGGGCTCGGGGAGTAGATACATGAATTGCTTCAGGTGGTCTGACGAGTTTTGAGCCGCTTTTTGAGTCGCTTTTTGAGTCGCTTCTCGAGATTTCAAGACGAAATCTGTAAATGTTGTGGGGGTGATCCCAATATCTTGAAGAGATCGCGCGGATGACAATGCGGCTTCCACCATGCTCGTCTCTGCATTCATAGCGCGCAAACAGTAAGCGAGGATTAAAATCTCTGTCGCAAGCAACGAACTCCCAAGTCTCTTTAACCAGATAACATCGTCTTCGTCGTCTTGATTGACGATGAGGTGGGTATTGCCTTGCAGAACGGCTGAAGCTGAACTATTCATCTTCTCAAGATCGTTCAGAACGTCTACGACGGAGTCTTGAATCGATTGCATCTCGATGCGACCATTGCGCAAGGACACAAAGCGGACATAGATGGACGCCAAGATGGCCACGGCAAAGGTGAGAATGCCGGCGATGTTGGCGATGACAGACAGCGGGCTATCCTCCATGGGGAATGGCGCAACGACAAGCGTGCCGAATTCGGCGGTAGCTCGAAAGAGTGCGGGGCGTGAACGTGTTTGTCAGACTCTCAACCTCGATATTGGAGCTGATGACACGATGAAGGGGATATACGAAGGGAGTAGGCGAATGGGGTAGACGACTAGGTTTTTGATCGTTAAGGCTGAAATTGCGCAACGAGAACCTTCCAGCTGACCCCTCCGCTGAAGTAAGCGGCAGCTGCATCGTGGCGTCCAACGAGGCTACCTTATCTCGCATGCACGCTTCAGCCTTGCAGTCCATGCCTGTTGACGAACACATCACAATGTTGCTGTAATCAGCATAACTTTCGATCGCCTTGTTTTTCCCTTGACTGACGTCACGCTTTCCAGTACATCAGCAGATTCCCAGCCACTCAAAAGCCGACAGGCCACCCGATGGAACCCTCACGGTAAGGTAGGCTGTCTCTCGAACATCCATCGTTACGACGCCTTTTTTGAATAGCCACGTCCGGCAACTTCTACTATTCACGGCGCTCGCCTGAGTTCCTGTAGCTCAAGCAATCGGGAAAGCGCGAGCAACAGCAACACATAAAGCGCATCGGTCACCGTTTTAAATGAACGACTCAACCGCCCAAGAGTGCACGTATTAGGCTTCTTAAATACACCAAATCGTGGTGCAGTATTAGAGAAGGTAAAGGACAAGGCAGCGTGCTTTTTATACCTCCAGCAGACGAACTCTGCCACATCAGTATTACGCAACTGCCTTTCGAAACGTCTGGCCGCGACCTTGGAAGGCGTACATGTCATTTTGGAGTCATATGGCGTCGCTACCACAGTTTCCAGCGCCCAAGCTCGTGGGACTTCCGTAACAAGTTTTGAGGACGCAGCAGGAGCGCGCATACGATCTTTGTGTGGAATTTTGAGGTAACAGTGCTGCACCAGTCATAAGAGCTATGTCGTCTTGTTTGAGTAACCGGTTCTTAATAGTGAAGTTTGTGGAGCAATCAGACAACCATGGCTCTCGGTCTCTACAGTTTCTCGTCGACGCCAGCCGCAAGTCATGTCATTGTGAGTTTTGTTTTTGGGTATCCGTTCTTGATAGGTGTTTTGGAAAAGGACGACTTTTCTCGCTCATGGCATTGAATGCTGCTGTCTGGAAATCAGTTCCTGATAGATGTTTTGGCGGAGCACAATCTTTCTCGCTCATGGCAGTGACGCCGATCGTTTTAGAAGAAGAGAGGACGAGCAGCCAAAGCACTCATGGCGGTGAAACAATGAACTTTTGAGAAAGAGCCAGAGGGGCCATTTCGTGTCGGTGTGCCGTTTTTGGAAAAGCCAACAAGAGCTTGGAATATAGAATGAAGAAAGCTATCAACGCGGGAGGAGCTTTTATGCGCGCAGCTCTCGCGCTAGTCGTAGCAATAGCCACTGCACGATTCCAAAATCGCTTCATGAGACTTTTGTGAGATCGAAACGCGCGGACTATTTCCGGTGTTCTGGCAAAGTTTGTTGCACAAGACCAGAACTCGCCATGGCACGTGATAATCTGGAATTTTGAGATATGAGTAGAATGTAATTTTTAAAGTCAAGCCGACAAGTTGGAAAGATGTGTAAGCGTCGCCCACAGGCGAGCCAAGTCATGGCGCTCGACGCAGTTGGATTTTGGAAAACAATGGGAAGAATTTTGGGGTAGAAGAGAAGAAGCAGAGGATGCGCAGAGGCTTTCATATGCGATCCACCGTACCGCTGAAGTCATGTTGTATGCATCTTGGTACTTCAGAGGCACGCTGCTCATGTATATACCCCACAGTCATCTTTCGGAACTGGTCCTTGTTCTCCATCATCATGGCTCCAATGTATTTGGCGACAACGAAAGAAGAGAGGACATGAATGGGGCGACGTGTAATTTGAGAAGCGCACGAACGTCCATGCGTGCCAATTCTCGTGATTTTGGTAAAACTGAAGGAAGTGGTATGTAAAGAAGGCCAAGAAGGTACAACGGCAGAGGGTCTTTTATACCGAGCTTCTTAGGTAATAATGCGAAAGGTCTGGGACCGCAAAGGCATAGCCAATTTCTGAGATTGTTTTGAGAAGCAAACTCCGCATGAAGAGCTGTCCAGTCGATTTTGAGTATGATGAAGCTGCCAGAGAGCAAGTTTTGGTATGATGGGTCGAGAAGGAGGCCGAGAAGACATGAGTCGTCTTTTACTAGCTTTTGAGAAGAAGGCCGAGAAGACATGCGTTGTTCGCGATGAGCTTTTGGAAAAAGAGCAGAGCACATGCATCTGTTTCAAACTGCTTTTAGTAAACCGCAGAAAGAGTGTAATATACAAAGCCAGTCCCCAAGCCAACGAGAAGAGATTTTATACCACTCTTCTCTAGTCTCAGCGACCGACATAAATTTGGCGACTACGGGTTTTGTCGACAGGTGCTTCTCATGAGCCAATTGATTGAGCTGTTTGGTTCTTCCCACGAACACTCCGACATGCTTCCTCGAACAGTATGTTTTGGAAAGGCGGAAAGGAAGGACGAGACATCCTGAGTGAAGCCACGCACTTTGAACAGGAGAAGAGCCATGAATTTGTGCCGCGTTGTTTTTGGAGAAAGGCAGTGGAAGTGGTGTGGTAACGAAGAAGGCCAGAAATGCGGGATTGAGAAGGTTTTATAGCTCACTTGGCGGGTTCCCAGATTTTCCTCTTGCGACCATGGTATTGTGGTATGACTTTTGATAACAACAGGTTTCTTGGGACAATGTATGAACATACGCGATGTCTAATCTCCAGAGCATGACTTCTTTGCCGTCAGTTTTTGAATGCTAGAGTGACAGCGACAGACCGAGAGCCGCGGACATGTCATAATCCAAGTCATCTTTAGGAGGAAGAAACTCGGAACAGCCATGGATTCGAAACAATGCCTTTTTGGTAAATCCCCAGAAGTTGTGGTGTGTAGGAAGTAAGAAGAAGTGAGGAAGAAGAGAAGCTTTTATATCTCATCTCCATCTCGTCTTCTCCCAGCCATGTCAAGACACTGTCGATAATTCGGAAGTTTCGCTACTCAGCACAGCTCACTCCATCGGTTGCACCACGACCTCTTTTGTTGCCGCACAACACCCCTCTATTTAGGCGGCATTGCTTTGTTTTGTTGTGGAGAGAAGGTAAAACCGGGACAACACCAGCACACTCGATCATCAAACTCCGACTTTGCGATTTTGGGTAAAAGAGGGAGAAGGCCGAGAACAAACATCCCAACGGTCAAGGTCTTCTTTTGGTAGAATGCAAAGAGGTTGTCGAGAAGCCGACATAAGATGGGAATCGAGGGAAGTGTTTTTGAATGCGAAGCTTCCTATCTCCACTTCTCATGAGCGTGTAGCCACAGTATTTTGGTAAAGATACACAGGAAGTGTGGTAATAAAGAAGTAGAGGAAGAAGCAGAGGGGAGTTTTATACGCCACCGCTAGCATTTCCACTCTCCATGATATGTTTTGTGAATATTTTGTAAACGCAGCGCAAAAAGCTGCGCTCTCCATGGCACCTTTGACAGGCCATTTAAATAAGGCTCACGGCCTCCATATATGAGTTGCAGTCGCTTTTTGATCGTCGGTGATGGGGAAGAGAGCAGCGCAACCAGACATGTCAGTTGGTGATCCGTCGTTTTAGGAAAGAGGAGCAGGAGCCCACATAGATACAAGTTGCGGGAATTTTAGTATAAGAAGGAGGAAGGTGGTAGTTATAAGACAAGAAGCAAAAGAAGCGAGAGAAGGTATTTATACATCTCTCGTGTCCGGTCCCGAGCATAATGTCCTACTCCAGGACGTTGAGTAGCCAGCCAGCGGCACCGGTCTCCGTCTCATGGGCGGAAGCTTCCGAAGTTTGTTTCCCAAAACACTCGACTTCCACATCATGAGGTACATCTATGATTTTGGAAGAAGCCGAGGCGGAGAGCGCACACATGTAAATTGTGATGTTCATTTTTCGGAAAGACGAAGCCCGGAGCGCACATGTTGATGGTAACAGCCATGTTTTGGAAGAAGAAGACCGGCGCACACATCCCTTTGATGGCACCTTGTTTTTGGAAAACATCATAGTATATGCGGAATATTTGGAAGAAACCTGGGAACCAGGAGAAGTGTTTTATAAGCTGCGATAGCTGGGCCAGAGGAACCATAGTCGGATGAGAAGTCGCTTTTGGAACAGCACAGTCGCTGGTGCCATGGGGCTGTTGACTGTGATTTTGTATAGATTTTCGGAGGAGAGTATCCTCATGGGACTTGGAGGTTGGATTTTGAAAGATAGGGTTGGAAAGACAGGCGGACGGCGCGCACATGGCATTGAGTTCCACGACTTTTGGGGAAGACCGCCAGGGCGAACATGACGTGGTATTGATCCAGTTTTGAAGAAAGACCCGGAAAGATATGGTATGAAGAAGAGAGGAGGGTGCCCCCAAGAGAGGCTTTATATACCCCCCTAGCGCGAAAAATCACAATCACATGCACCAAGCAACCCCAAAATTTGAGTGAAGTGAAGACAACAAAGTCTGATCATAATTGCATAATCCATCCGATCATCAATCTATCATATACCCATACCACCGTCTACGCAAAGAATGATGTAAAGAAAGAAAGAAAGAGACTCCTGTAAATGCCCATAAACCATCATGTATACTTCATGAAGCATCTTAACCAAGCGTCAAAAGAGCCGTTACCATAGGGCAAGCATTAGGGAGAGAACCACGAACCCCCGAAAAGTAATGGGCAACCCCACCATCGCACTCATCTCTAAAACCTTGTTGCAGGGAGGAAACCATCCATAGTAATATACACATATACGCAAACCTTCTTCTAATCAATCCCAATCAAACGACAATCGCTCCTAGTTGTTTGCCAGCGTAGGCGCACGTCTGAGCTTGTAATCCGGCAGATGGTCAAAGTCATCCGTTTCGGAGTTGTATCGCCAGGCCTTGAACTCGACGCCGTAGGGCTTGGGTTCGAGCTGGTACAGCATACCCAGCGG